TTATAACCAAATCATTGACTACTTCACAACAAGCGAGTAAAGACGATGATGGCATTTTAGCTTTGTGTGGCAGAAAAGATATGAAAGACCCCTTGTGAGTTCCATTGTCTACTGATAGAACACTCTAGTACCGATTGTGACACCGGAGTGGAGGATATTTGCGTGGGAAGATTCGTTTTTAAGCTGCGTAGAGCTGTGGGAAATATATCAGCTGTTTACATTGGTATTCGTATTATTGTACAGTATTTGGTTGTTTGTAGGTTTTACAATTTTCCAAACTCTTTATTATAATGTCATCTACTACTACTTGTAAGAATACTATGAAAGTGACTTTAATCGGTGCTTCCGGTGCCATTGGTATGCCTCTTTCATTGTTGTTGAAGTTGAACCCTCTGATCACGGAGTTGGCTCTTTATGATGTCCATCAGGCTCGTATACCCGTTCCTGGTATTGCTGCTGATAATTCTCATATCAACACTCCGGCTAAGGTGAGAGGATATGTCGATGCTGAGCATCTCCCTGAGGCTGTCACTGGAAGCAACGTCATCATTGTATGTGCTGGTATTGCTCAAAAACCCGGTATGTCTCGTGAGGATCTCTTTGGTGTTGATGCCGGTATAATGCGTGACATCGCAACAACTTGTGCTAAATATGCCCCGAATGCTATGATGTGCATCATGTCGAATCCCGAGACTTCACTCGTTCCTCTCACTGCTGAGATCTATAAGAAGGCCGGAGTCTATGACCGTAAGAAGCTCCTCGGCATCACAACTCTCGATGTGACTCGTGCTCGAACCTTCTATGCAGAAGCTACTGGTCTTGATGTTGAGAAGGTTCATGTTCCTGTTGTCGGTGGTCACGGTGGCTGTGCTATTCTTGCTCTCTTCTCGCATGCTACACCTTTTGTAAAGTTGGATGAGAACACCATCAAGGCTTTGGATGAACATGTCCAGACTGCTGTCACTGAAGTCGTCGATGCTCTCGCTGGTGCAGGTTCGGCCTCTCTGTCTATGGCATACTCTGCTGCTGAGTTCATCGATACTGTCA